TGTATGATATATTGATGTAGGTTTTTTAATACTATGGTTTCAATAGAAAATTGGTCAAGTCATCTATTTCATTTTTTTCTAATTTAATTGCTAATTCATCTATCAATCAGAGCAAATGATCTACATTTAATAGTAAATTGTGGGGTTAATAAAACATATAAAATTAAATATTTTCATAAATCTCAATTTCCTTACCAATCAAACTGTAATGTCTTCACAAAAACATAAACTTCAACTTATTGCTGCTGGTAAACTTGTTCTGACACACTTCATTATGGCTCATTTGCTGCAAACTGGTGGATTTTCAATAATCAAAAAATGCCTGAGGGAGAAAAACAAACATGCGTTCCTATACGTTTAAATATGAGAGTTCAATTGGAACTCAATGAGACATTATTTATTATTCGTATTGTTAGTAGAAATAATAACACTAGGCCAGGCTATATTTGTGAGTCTGATACTACAGGAGAGGTATATCCAAGTGCTTCGGAAGCTATCAATGAAACATATAAAAAACTTTTTAATACTAAAACAAGATATTCAGGTCCTTCACTTATAGGGTTTGATAATGAAGCTATAACTGCAGAATTATTATCAGGCGTTCAGTTTCATCCTTTTAAAATTACAATTGATAAATTGTCAGTTTTAATCATAGACTTGGGTGACTCAAATGACAATTTTGATAATATTGTAGGATCTGGATATCAATCTAGTTTTATGCATAAATATCAAGGTAATCAATGTCTTTACGTTCAAAAAAAAATAGCTACTAATAATTATCAAATTGAGGTTTTTCATAAGGAAGAGAAAATTGCAAATTATAATGACATTTCACCAACTGTGGTTTGGGATAAAACTAAAATATTGAAAAATTTTAATGGGAATACATTATTTGGAATTGATCATACTATTACAATTGATGCATTCAAAAAATATTCTGTATTACCAATATGTAATATCACAGGGTGGAATGATATTGATATAATGACTCAAGCTTTTGAACAATGTTTAAAACGATCAATTGCAGTTGTTGGAGTTAATTGGTATCAGTTTTTTGTAAATTGGAAAGAGCAACCATCAACTATTATAGAATTTACTGCACATCTTAAAAACACATATCCAGCAGATTATGTTTTTACAGATCGTGAATTTGGGGCTTGGAGGGCAATGATGAAAAAAGTTGGATGCACAAAAATATCACCATATAAAAGAAAAGAATCAAAGGTAAATTTTTTTAGTTATATTGTTATGCATTCAGAAATTTCATCAAAGAAATTTTTTTTCTTTTTTTAGCTGGAATTTTGGACATTATTCTAGTGATCATGCAACTCTTGAATATTTATATACTATGAATCTGCTGAATGCTGGTCCTTCTAAATTACAAGAAACAAAAACACAAATTGAAGACAAAGAATTGCAAAAAACTGTTGATTGTTTTTGGAAAAGCTTTGATGAAGCAATGCAGGTTAACAAACGTGGATTAGATGGAAAGCAACGTATATTATCTATTATTACAAAAAATTTTGGGCATAGAGAGATTCAAAATAACTTGCAGGTAACATTTAAATGTAATGAATGATTGTGTCATTGTTAAAAATATCAAATAATTATCTTTTAGGTTTCAAATGATTTG